GGAGGAATATTGAATATTACAAATAATATTGGTAATATTGAGACAATTTTCAAGCTGTGACGTCATAATACAAGAAAATGTGTAATATCGAGGTAATATTACCAGTAATATGGCTAATATTGGTGTAATATTTGAGGTAATATCAGTCCGTGTACGGAGGAATATCGAAGTTGACGACCCCTCGGCCCTACCCAAGCCACGCGGCCCGCGCGCGGGTCAGTTTCAGACGTAAATCTCTCACCCTCACACCCGGCCGTGACTGCGGGTCCCCTGTCTGACTGAGTGCTTCGCGCCACCCTGTGGGCTGCCCACACCGACACCCTCTCCATCTTGCGCGGGCTCGCGCCGCTCGCCACGCCCCGCCACGCCACGCCACGCCACGCCATTCCGATGATCTCTTGCGATCGCTCTACTCTCTTAGCCAGGGAAAGTTCCCCCGCGGCGGGGCGGTGCCGAGGCGGCGCCCGGGCGGGGCGGATATGTAGTCGTTTATCGCGTGCTCGTTGGGGTGCTGGCCGGCGGGGCCGCTGCTGCAGCCGCCAGGCGCCGCGGTCGGCTGCGTCGGAGAGCGGGGAGCCGAAAGCGCGGGCACTGCACTGCTGCACGCTTTGTGCCCCTCTCTCTTTCTATATGATGTACGTAATGTTATTGTTTGTTATTGTTGGTCAGTTTGTTTCGTTAAGAGTTTTCAACCGGGATACATTACTTATGTGTTCTATCTCTGGGATTTGTCATCTTCTTCGATATTATTATGGCCTTGACCATCTTGTGTTGGCTGCAAGAGTAATTGTTATTGTGCGTACTTGGTCTATCGGGGGGTGCTTATAGATTCCTCTGTGCGAATCCGGTTGTGTATGGCTCTTGGAACGGAGCTCGCCACACGACTCGCGCACGGACGTGCACCTGCAACACCTTTTCACCTTCGCCCGCGCCACGCCCGCGCCCCGCCCCGCCCCGCCGCGCTGCACGCGCTGGCTGGAGGCATGTCGGGCCTGGCCTTGATCGTGAGAAAGTGTGCTTCGTTTACTCGTCCAGGTCCAGCCATCTCCACTCACATGGCCAGCAGCATGGCTGTGGGGCGTGGGAGCTCGGCGGGGCGGGGTGAGGCGGGGCGGGAGGGATGTAGTGAGGAGCGGCCGGGCGGCGGCGTCCTGCGGCTGCCAGCCGAGCATGCGTGAGATTCCTATATTATTCGCGTGAAACAGCTACTTGGCCGAGTTTTCCCGGGAGGGAACCGGACCATGGCGGGGCGGGGCGTGGATGCGCTCTGGGTCAGGGTCGTGGGCCGCGCAGGGTCAGGGTGCACGCGATCATCGTACATTGTACCCAGAAAATCGTCTCTCCGAAACAAGGGAGTTTCCTTCAGCCTTGAATCAAGGAAATTTTTCTCTAAATAAACAGAACGAATTTTTGTCGTTAAACGAAGGAAATTCCTTTGAAACAAAGGAAAAAATTGCAATATGATTTTTCAAGAAAACAATTCTGCGTGTGCATTGTGCAAAATATGCACCCAGACAAACTGTTTCTTGTCTCAATTAAATGTTGAAACAGGCGATACTATCACTATCTTCAGAATAAGTGAAGCATATCCTTTGTCCTATCCTATTGCAAAACATGATTAATTGACCATGCTTGAAGAGTAAATTAGATCGTGTGTGTCGAGTAGTGCACGATAATAAAAAAATATACACAGAAACATTGTTTGCAATCGCTCTTATTGCAAGTATCACTTTGAACGTATTACTGAGAATATTAATGAGAATGTGGAGTACGACAGCAACTCTTTCGTATCCCGTCTGCTCTTGATTTACTCACCTTGCCGCTTTATCTAACCGTTTGCCTTTTTCTTTGACTTTGCAGACTGTGCGTCGCCAATCATCCTGAATGCTGGACACGGATTTGAGACGCGGCAAAAGTGACGTAAGTCCTCTTACATAGGTGACCCCGGCCGTCCGGCGTAACCTTCATCATTGCACCTGCAAGCTGCGCTCCCATCGCCACTCGTACACATTGATGGAGCCGGGTGCGATAGACCGCCGCCGCGCCATGGCGCGTCTGACTTGAGCTAGGTGCGGGAGGTGGGGGGGGG